CGCGAGGGACATGCGCCTTCGGAACGCGAACGCTCTCCGGGCCTGAGCTGCGCCCCCGCCGTCAGGCTCGCAGCAGCGCAACTCCGGGGAGTCTGGCCCACTCTCCTCCGGAAAGGGCAGCCAAGCATAGCGTTTGGACCAGGAATTGGAGTGGCAGATTCGCTGGTCTGACCCTATTTTTTTTACCAGATAGGAGCAGGAGAAGTTCCTCGTCCAAGGTCACATAGCTAGAACTTAGCTGTGTGATCCAGGGCGGGAATATTCTCACTGGACGAAAAACTCCAGGAAGGCAGCCACCTGTCTATCTGGTTTTCAGCAGTTGCCCCCACCTGATTGGACATAGCCCTCAGAAAGTGCTTGACTGAGTAAAAGGTGCCGACCTCCCAGGATCCAGTCCTTTCCACTACCCAAAGCCCGCCACCTTAGCTGCTTTTTATCTGTGATGCTTATAAAATACAATTCTAAATAATGCGATTAGTTTCTACACTGTGTAGTCAGATTCATTTCTTTGTAACCAAACAGTGATTTTTCCTTTCTCTATGTGGTTTACTTTAGGCAGGGTCTTCTGATACTTCTCTTTATATAGGTTTGCCCAGCGCAGTGCTGGACGTGTAGGTGGCACTAGATAATCAACTGTTACTGAGTTTTCTGCCATTGCATTCATTTCCTGCGACTCTCTCCATCTGGAGGAACTTGTTGCTATATCTCTAATGCTTAAACAGTGCTTGGCACATAGTGGGACATGATAAATAGATAGAATAAACAAGGAAAAGCTGTCTGCACATTATGCCTTTTTTTCTATCTTAAATATTACAAAATGGATTTTTGTACATGCGTGCTGGGTAAAGACTTTGACATGGGGAATTTCTGGAAGGCAGGGGTTAGGAAGAAGAGTTTATTTGTGGGGGTGGGGACATTGCAGAGATAATGCTTCAAACCTCTTTCGTGAATAAAACTGACTTAAAAATCCAGACTCAAGAGCTGAAGGAAGACAACAACCAGAAAGCACTTACAGCCAGCACTGTAATGGTTTGGTACAAAAGAAGACCACTAATGTGGGAGGGGGAGCCCGACAGGCCAGAGTGCACCTCCTGCAAGGTGGGTTTCTCTTTACAGCACCTCTCTGTCTCTCTGTCAGCTTTACTTCTGAAGCTCTGGCCTCCCTCCTTGCCTTGAGCTCCGTGCCCTTCTCACGTTAACAGTCCTCCATCAGGGGTTACTCTGAAGTTCTCCTGGAGACCGCACAGTTCAGTGATTAAAAGCAGGGACTCTGGAGTTGGCCTGCCTAAGTCTGAACCTCAGCTTTGCCAATGACTAGCTGTATGTCATCAGACACATGGCTTAATATCACTAAGTCCCATCTGCCAAATGGAAATGATGCCTCATGGAATTGTTATAAAGATTAAATGAGTTACTATAACAGGAAAAGTCTTAGAATAGTGCCTGCTACGTGGTCAGTTATATACAAACATTGGATAAATAAGTTGTGAGAGAAGTGACTGCCAGACACCTCTCTGAGCCTGAGGACAGAGCCACACGATGACACATCCTGCAGCAAAACAAGCCAGAGAATGGAGTTGTTGGCAGTGGAATTTACTGCTGGAATTTATTACAGATTGATTACTGTATATGAAGTAGATCGGATAAAGCCAAGAGGACAGTTTGGTATCTAGAAGACACTAGTGGAATTTTCCTCTAGGATGCTGGGAAGGTGGTCTACCTTCACAAGACAGACTTCATGCCTCCTCAGTGTGCAGGAGACACTGGGAGGTCTCAGAAAAGTACTTGTGCCAGGAGATAAGAGGATCCATCTTTTATGCCTATCAAAGAAGGAACCTGTAACATAGCTCTCTCTGAGTCTTAGGACAGTGGAACACCCAGAGACAGTGGGCTGGCCTGCTGGGTAGAAGATAGAGTGTGTGCTAAATGACTGACATTGGGTGGAACAAGAGGCTGGTCTTCGATTGGTGCGTTAGACATAGTCCTGGGCAGGAAGCCAAGTAAGACGGGTTGGCATGGGTCCCACTCTTTAGACCCGTCTATCTCTGGTCTCTCACATTAAACCCAAAGTGGCATCCATCTTCACTTTTGTTTCCCATTCCTTCCAGGAAGACTTCCTCCTTTCCATGCCAAGACTACTCTGGTGGAGCAGGAAAGTCCAATGCTTTGACATGGAGTATATCTTTTATCATGCCTTTAAATGCACTTGTTCTTGGCTCACTGGTCAATTATCCATGTCCTCTGCATAGTCACATGGATTGGTCTCTAGAGGACATGGTTTCTGTTTACTTGATTTGGCCAGAAGATACACCACTCAGCAAAATTACTGTTAAAAGGCATTTGATGATAATTAACCACACTGAAAGGACATTTTGCCGGACAAGAGACTTATGTGTTAATGAAGTTGCATCCAGTTTTCTTTTTAATTTTCTCAAGCTCCTTTAGATACATATTGTAAAACAAATACCCTCAGTTAAGAGATAATTGATATTCAGAAGCTGCTCAGACCTTCTTGCCCCCAGGTGGCCTGAATTCCCTAATGTCATGGGCTCTGGGGTCCACCTCTAATACTTTGCCAGCTGTGTAACACTGCACAAGTAACACAACCTCTCTGAAAAACGTTAACCCCTTCTGCCAAATGGCGTTAGCTCACAGGGCTATTTGAGAATTAAATTAAATAATGCAGTAAGGCAATTATCACACTGCTTAACATACAGGACCTGCTCATATATTATCCCTAACAGCTGCATTGTTAAATTTGGAATTCATTTGCTGATTTGCATTATCTTTCCAAGGGCAAATTGATTAGCCTGCCCACCCAAATTGTAAACTCTGAAAGACAAAAATGCATTTAATATATTTTTAATCACTGTAAATTAAAATGTTTGCTGATTTTTTTTAATATTATGTATTTTATGGCTGACTTATTATTAATACCAACCAGTGATTCTCAAAAGGTTTTAGACCATTTCCACAAAACAAAAAATTCCAAAAATAAGTAAATTTATAATTTATCTCTGCAAAGAAATCACCACAATTAAATATGTCCCAAGAAATAATTCAAAAGAAGAAATATATATACATATTCTATTTACAGCCTCATTACACAATAGCAAAAAATGGAAAATATACAATTATTAAGGAATAGCTAAATGAAGTAGGACATAAAATTATTGGAACTTTTGCAGTCATTAAAACTAATGACTATTAAAGATATGGAAAAGTATTTACAAAATACGTGAAAAAAACAGAAATATAAAACCATATATACAATTACAACTATATAAAAACTAAATGCAATATATACATTTATGTCACTTTTACCCTCTATACCTTTGCAATTTTCAACTTTTACAAGCATGCACAAGTATTAATTGGGTAATGGATGTACACAAATATTAGATGAGAGTACAAAGGAAGAGAAAGTGTGTTACCGATTATGAATTTTTAGTACAATCATCTTCTGTGTAAAATGTCAAAGTTAATAATATCTTTTAAATAAAAGTAATAGAAATATTTAGAAGAATTGCAATGCTTTAAGTGAGACATTAATGTAGGAGGGCATGTTTATAAAATGATTTAACAAATATTTATTAAGTTTCCACCATGTGCAGTGTTCTGCATTAGGGGCTAGGGACACAGTTATGAATAACACAGACTTACATGGGAGGCAAGTTGTGGATGAGGAAGTTTGGGCATTCCTGTTTCTCACCAGAATCCTCCATATCATTCCCTATCTGTCCAAAACCTTTCATAAGAGGCGGCATCTCCTAATCTAAATTTCTCTCTACCTCCTCCCTCCCCACTCCACCCCTAGCCAAAACCAGCCAGACTTGTGTGACTGTGTCCCCCTCCTAGTAATCTGCTTTCCCTGCCTGGCTGTGTTAACAGACAAGCACACAATGCCTTCACCCACCAAAATGCAAATATGCTCAGAAATCTCCCAGGAAAATGACCACGGCTTTAGCTTGAGTGGTCTTATCTTAGCTGCTGCTGCTGCTGCTGGTGAGTCAGCTCTGATCAGACCTAAACTCATCGTGCACATACTGCCATGTTAGACACAGGGACAGTGAAAGACTCCAGTCCCCTTGGTAGAGTCCAGAGCCACTCCAGGGTAGCAGCTTGCAGCTGTGGCTTCCCTCGGGATAAGGTGGGCAGGGGGAGACACTCCCAGCAAAGCACACGACGTGCAAAAATTTCACTATGTGACACAAAGCAAGGAGGCTGGGGCGGAGAGGGCATGTGTGGGAGGATGATAAGAGATGGAGGCTAGAAGTAGGTGAACGTAGAGACAGGAAGCAGAACTTTCTTCTGTAGGCATCGGTGAGCACTGAGGAGTTCTAAGCAGGGAAGGGACGTGATCTGATTTCCATTTGGGGAAATTCACATTATTAGAATGAGACTGGATGGGGAGGGGGTTCTGACCAGAGATAGAGGAGCTTGAATTAAAATAATCTGGGAGACAAGTGATCAGAATCTGAACCAGATGGGGGTGTGGGTATAGCTCAGTGGTAGAGTGTGTGCTTGGCATGTGCGAGGGCCTGGGCTCAATCCCTGCTACCTCCATATAAAAAATAAAATTAAAAAATATATACTGAACACTATAGAGTGCAGAGGGAAGGAGGAGGGGCCGGAGTTGAGGTGATTTGAGGAGGAAAAATCCAGTGTCAGAACTTGGTGACTAATTGTACAGAAGGTGGTAAAAGGAAAGCTCCTATGGTAACTCCGAGACATTGTGTTTTGAAGACTGTCACTGACCAAAGCCATAAGGCTTTCTCCCCCAGAGAGTGGTTTTTTTTTTTTTTTTTTCTGAAAAATAAAGGTGAAACAATTTCACTGAGCAGGTAAGGAAGAAAGTCTTCCACATTGCACCAGACCAGTCTCTTACAATCGTGTTTCCCAAAGTGGTGGAATAAGACAGAAGTGTAAATGGTGCAGGGACGTCAGAAAGCGACTCTTGCGGACAGAAAGGTTTCCTTTTTCCATTATCCTTCCATCCTGATTAAGTCAAGGTGAAAGCCTCGTAAATCTTTAATACCTGATAATCTCCTTTTGAGCAAGAGAGAGAGACAGAGAGACAGACAGAGAGCCCTAAGTTCAGAAACTTGGACAGACAACGGTACCAAGCTAGACATATTGTTTGGTTTTCCTTGAAACATACATGTAGGCTCATCCCTCTATTTAAGCCACATGATTCTGGTTTCCATTTATATGAAGCTTTTAATGTTTCTTTTTAAAATACATGGATCTGAAGGGAGGAAAGTGAGTGAGTTTAGGAAAAATATTAAGTGAAAAATGGTACAGGAGATATGCAAATGTAACAAGAATCACGGCACATGAAAGACTGAAGCTTAGGAAAACTTTTCCTTAAAAAAACAATAGCTGGAAGATATATCCGTAATCGAAACAAATCTCCAGTGTAACCCAAGCCATGTGTAATTAAAGAAGAAGATGGTAGTCGTCTGGAAGGACCCAGTGATTAGGGCTCCAAACAATTATGAATGCAGACGAATTTGGGGTTTGAGGCTAAGGGCTTGGCAGGAGTGGGGATAATGACACTAAACATTCTCCCTCTCCTGTCAAAAGCCCCAGCTGCCCTGGAGGAAGGGACTTCTCCCTTGTCCAGAGCAAGAGAGCCTGAGAGGTCTCCCCAGAGCACAGCATTGTCTCATTTTGTGGTTTGTTTTTGCAATCAGCTAGGAAATAAACTCTTCCAGGGGGAGGGTACAGCTCAGCGGTAGAGCGCATGCTTAGCATGCATGAGGTCCAGGGTTCAATCCCCAGTACCTCCATCAAGAAATAAGTAAGCAGGCAAACCTAATTACTTGCCTCCACA